AAGGTCAATGAAAGTTAGTCTTTGTACTTGATATGGGTAGCGATCCCGGGACGACTTATTACGCTGACTGATACCAAGATGAAACGTACCTTCGTCGATGTTCCTGGACCACTCATTCAGTACATCCTGACTTAGTCCATGTTGCAAAAGCTTTGAATGGTATGCATGATGAATGTTCATAAACCCTTTTCTGATCGATTCCCCTGCGTATTGTAGTAGCTGAGTTTCGACATTAGTAGATCCTGTATGAAAGCCACGTCAGACGATGTCAACGAATAAAGTCACAGTCCGTACCTTGTGCCCATGGCCCTAAAGGAAGGTATATACCACCAGATCGAGCTGTTTCAGGATCCATGAGAGGATAATCCCATAGCCCTAATAGGGTCAATTCGCTGGCACGATGTAGACCAGATCCGTCTATAGTGCATCCTTCCCAAGTCTCTAGGGTAATAAGATGAGTACCAGAGATACTGAATGGCACAAGAAAGGGAATATGTGGCCACAAATACTAGCAAACTCACCAGCTATCATCCTTCGAAGCCAGGACCCATCTTCACTCACACCGCTTACATCCGGGTCTCCAGGTAATTTCTTCATTCTAGCTGGCTTCTCTCGACCTTCGTAGACAATCATATCGCCATCAATAATGAGTAATACACCCCCCGGTTTTAGACACCTCTGGAGTTCAACAATAGTTTGATCCATGTCGGTCATTCCACCTCCAATGCAACGAACGTGGACGAAATCATATTGCTCATAGAATCGAGACATTCCGAGGTTGACATTGCAGATTTCAAACTGTAGATTGGACGGAAGGAGTGCTGGGCTCACAGGAGATGGGACGACATCCACTCCTACAACCGACGCATGTGGGAAACGATGTGCCATTTCAATTGCCCTGGTCAAGGTCCATTCAGTATCTGCAGATCCATCAATCACGCGTAGAAAGTGACAACGCACCATGAGCCGGTTCCACACCCTGGAATAGTAAGAATTAGCCCATCAATTAGAAAGACTTGGACGAGACTATGAAGCTCACCAACATCAATGATA